ATCGAGTCCCGCATCGGGCTCCCTGCTCGGCAGGGAGTCTGTTTCTCCCTCTGACCCTCCCCCCTCTCATGCTCTCTGTCTCTCATTCTCTCTCTCTCAAATAAATAAATAAAATCTTTAAAAAAATAAATAAATAAAGTCAAAAGGAGAAAGAGAGGCCAAGAATAGCAAGAGTAGCACCAAGATGGGAAAAGTTAAGATGCCAAAGGAAAAAAAAAAAGTTACCAAAAAAACCCAAAAACAAACAAACCAAACCCCAAGGCAGTAGATTTTAACTGGAGGCAGCAGGGAAAGGGAAATAAAACAGCGTGGAAAAACCTCCATAAATGATTCTAGGACTAGACCAAGTGATTTAAACAGTGAATGAGTGTAAGCAGGTGGAGATGGGAGTATGCAGATTATTCTGTCACATTGGACAGTTAAAAGCAGTGGGAGAATTAAAATAAGGAAGACCAAGTAAGTCTGTAGGCAGCAAGGAAAGGTCTAATTAAGAAGACGGAAGCAAGCAGAAAAAGGGAGGTTGGTTTTGTCAAGGAAGAAAGGCTATTTCTTTTTAAGGAAAGGGTTCCAAGAAAGAGACAGAAGAGATAGAAGTTGAAGAGAACTCATTTGGGATGGCCTTGATTTTCTCAAAACAACAAAAGAGGCACAAAGTCATCTAAGAATCAGAACATCAGGAGGATGGATAATCAGGAAGATTGGAAAGAATTTTAAACAACTGCAATCAACTTATAATTACAGGCAGTACATTTGTGAACATTAATTTGACTAACAAGCAAAAACATCTACTTGTCACAAGCCATTCTTTGTTTGGAACTACACAGTAACCAACAGCTGCCACCTTTCATCTTCAGCAACACAGATTTGCCCTGCCCAATCAGAAGCACAGCCGAAAACAGGGTGCTCTTCGTCCACCTCCTGTCAGGGCTCTGTACCACTCCAAGTTGTACTAGGCTAATGTATATTTGCAAACAAAAGGACGAGGAAATACCCTCAATGATGGAAAATGTTCAACATTCAATCCAAACTTGAAAAATTGGGAGGAAAAAACACTGGGGGAACTGGGGTAGGAAACAGAGAAACAAAATGCATTACAAAGAATAGGAAACAAGCTTTTGGACTTTCAAAAGTAACAAAGGACAATTTTATTAATATTTTTTCATCCTCGTTAAGATCTTCACATGGAACATATTTATGTAAAGCAAAGGCCTGCTGAAATGGGGCTGCCAATACTGGAAGAGGCCTCAAACACGTAAATGGTCCTTTCATGAAGGGACATCTGCTTGTTTGGGGTTTCTAAATGATGAACATAATTTGTATTACCTAGGTTTCCACTGAGTATCTTTAATCCTCTTTTTTCCTAGTTATGTTTTAACTGAGATCTTGGTTTATTCTACAAAATCCCACCCCTGCTTCCACAACCTCAGTTAATCAAGTGTTGACTATTTTAGGGAGGTTTAACAAGAGAAGACTAAGAAGGATGCCAAACAGCAGTGAGGAACTAGCTTCAGTTCACTAATAAAATCTCTCTACTCTCCTGGTCTCTGGATAACCTCAGGGATAAAAGAACTATCTACTTCTGTAACACTTGGTTCTTACCTTTTGCTATGTCCAGGAAAGTATCTGATGTATTTGTTGTCATGCAAGGACAGGTAACGAATAGTATCTGTAAGAAGACAAATAAGGCATGATGATATCCTATTATTTTTAGAGGAATTGCTTTGTATTTTCATCTTGAAAACAAGGCCAAAGAATTCATTGTTTTTCATAACTCAAGCAAGGTGTGAATAAATAAGGTTAAGTAATTCCTCTCCACAGCTGAAGAATGGGCACTACAGATTTCACATAATTCAAAAGCAGAGTTCTCAAGTTGACGTCATATAGAGCAATGTTTAAAATCATTGTTACCACCATCTTTGGCTTCTGCATAGTTACAGTGCAACCTGTCCTGCAAAATTACCTGCCCGCACCACCCCCCAAAACACAATAGCTTCAGTACCCACAGAACGGCAAGCCTTAAAGAAGAACATTTAGCTGTTCAGAAACAGGCTCAAAGAATTAAGAAGCCATGCTAAACTGAGGATCAGGCTGGACTCTGGCATAATATTTTTGTCCAGGGTTCTTCAACAGTGTGTCGACCCAACCCTGACCTAAATGTTAACTGGATATACAATTTACATCAAAACTAAACAGATGGAAAGAGAAGTAATGTCCTACTACTTTTTAAATTAACCAACTATCCACTGGTCCTTTGTGCATCAAAGAAGTCAGTTAAAATAATAATAACCAAAAGAATGAGAATATTTGGGTTAAAAAGATCTTAAAACATTTAAAAATCAAACTCATGAATATACCAACAAGTCATAGCAGTGAGATTTTGTCAATACCAAAGAAAGGAATAATTCATAGAGGCTTGTACTTGGGGAGAAAAAGACAAACACTCTTAAAAACCAAGGGATTTTATCTGAAAAAGTAAGCAAACAAAAAGGATGGTGGTGGGAAAGGAATGAAGTGCCATAAAGAATAGAACTGGAAAGTGCTGTGCCCCCAAAAAGACTAGGAATAAGAAGCAATTGTTGAGAAAGAGGCAGTAAGAAACGGTGCCAAAACACAAACAGGAAAGCACAAAAGAACATTCTAGAGGCAAACAGAACACAGAAACAAAGAGGCTGAAAGCACCAAGTCATTTCAGTGGTTCACAGGGGTACTTTCTAGTAACAGGGCATTTGACCTGGGAGAGGGAAAATCACACTCTGTACGTTCCAAAACGGAACTCTAACATAGTTTTCTTTGAAACTCTTCAAAGTTCTAGAATGACAACTACAAAGTCTTCCTGGCTGTTCTACTTCTGAAAACGACTCACCTGCCCTAAGCAGAAAAAGACTTCCTCCCATTACCTGTGCTCCCCGGGATGAGCAGGGCGTCGCCATCCTCTCTGCCCCACTCAGTAGCTGGTGCGCTGTTCCTGGCAAGGCAGTGGCCTGTACAGTTATCTCCTGTACCGGGTGGTATCACAGACCCTCAAACTGTACAAACTACTACCTCAGCCTGGAATCAGGCAAAAGGAAACGGAGCGTTGGAGGAACTCTTCAGGATGCACTCGAGACAGGAAAGGCAACAACATCCTCACAGCAGAGGCCTGGCAGCAAGGCTGCAAGTGCCACACATTTGCCTCATTTTGCACCATATTTGGAGAATCCTCACATTTATTCACCCAGAAAAATACCCCAACAGAAGAAGTATACCAGTCATTCAGATGATCACATAGATATGTTTCCTCAGGATCCTAATGATTTATATTCTTGTCCAAAAGCATCAACTGCACTGCTTACTTAGAAAACCACTTCTGAAATAGAGGCATGAAAAGTAGAAATGATATACTTACTAAAAATCAAGTACAGGCAGAAAAGTCCCATTAAAAAAATAAAAAGACTTCTGCCCATCTGCCCTGAGATAGGCACAGCCAAAATAGCAGTCTAAGTGATCTTTGTTGGATGACATTAGAAAAATCTTATTGTAGGGGCACCTGAGAGGCTCAGTCAGTAAAGTGTCCAACTCCTTATTTCAGCTCAGATCATGATCTCAGGGTTGTGAGATCGAGCCCCAAGTTGGATCTGCAATGGGCTCCGTGCTGGGTGTGGAGCCTGCTTAAGATTTTCTCTCTATCCCTCCCCCACCCTCATCACACTTTCTATAAATAAATAAATAAATAAATATCTTACTGCAAAAAGTGAAACAATCAATAAATCCAGTGAGATTAAAAAAAAAAAAAAGAGTCCTAACACAAAAGTAAGTGTTACATAGCTCAATTACCAAGATGAACTGTCAACTGAGAAGACTTATTCCAGGGGAAATACAGGTAAAAACGGCAATCACTTATTAGAGAAAAAAATTCACAAGTTTAATTTCTAAAAATAACTCTTTACTCTTCAAAGACATTAGTTTTATTTAAAAATTAAAAAGGGAGGGCATGCCTGATCGGCTCAGTCAGTAGAGCATGCAACTCTTGATCTCAGGTTATGAGTTCGAGCCCCACGTTAGTTGTAGAGATTACTTAAAATCTTTAAAAATAAATAAATTAAAGTAAAAAGAGAAAAGGGACAAATTCAGATTTCAAAAGAAGTCCCTGAAATCAAAGATAATTAAGGTCAATACACTATCCTTTATGACACAGACCATAAAAGGTAGGCATACACCAGAAACTCTTCTAAGGTCCTTAAATTACCATAGTTCAAGCATTTGTGGTTATTTACCACTTGCTGTATGTCAAGTATTCTTTCCTTTTATTTATTCTAAAAGTATTCTTTCAAGTTTAAAGAAGTACAAACTATAAATATAATTCATTGCTTCCTATACCATTCTAATCTGGAGACCTTTCATAGTCCATTTCAAGTCCTTCAAAAGTACTAGTGGATTGCTTCCAGCATCCCCTGAGTCGTAACAATGTTGGCATTGCTAACATCATAGGAAAATATTTAAATTAAAGTAACTCTAACCAAAGCAGAAGTAGTCACAAGGATTCCAAGAACTATTTAACAAAAGAAACCATGACCATAACTTCCTAAAAAGAAGGCTTGCTTACCGTCTATTTTGTTAGAGCTGTACACGACTGTGTTTGCTGCATGGGTGTATCTGATGAGGTCCACGCCATATTTCTTACTGTACAGGGTTCTCTTTGGTCTGACGAGGAAATGGGACAGAGAAAGAAAACCATCAAAATCCTCCATCACCAAAATCTGGGATCTTCATATAAAGAGAAGCACTTGAATGATGTGGCAAGGATGAGCATTCTTGGGAAACTCTAACACTGGAGAGAAACAGAAATTCTTCCAAAAGGGAGGAAACAAATGGAATCAATCAAGTACAACAGACTTTCACCTCTGAACACCAAATGCTGAGGTTAAGAAGTGGAAGTAAATCTGAGGGCTCAAATGAGTCTTTACTACAATGTTCAGAAGTAAGTTTTGAGAAAAAGTACATCTATTTGGGAAGAAAGGCACATAAAACACAAGTCACAACTTATAATAAAGACAGATATGGGAATACATCCTACCAATGAGGCCATAACTTTTCTTAAGCCATCACTTAAGAAATAAGGTCCTTTTTTCAAGAAGAAATGATTTATCAAAACTGAAACTAGATGCAAAATTGCTTGCCTTTCCTAACATAACCTGCTGTTGCAGAAGCTATCCATCCTCCCTATCCTACAAGTCTGAAGTACTTACTGAGCCTTATAGAAGGCAAGACTAACTCTCCCTAGGAATAAAAAACTAGTCATTACTTCTTTTCTTTTTTAAAGCAAAATCACGTATTTCCAAGCTAGAGGTTACCAATCCATTTGAGGTTCCTTCAATGTTTCCCTCTATAGAACCTTGAAAATCAAAGATCAAGCTAAAACGGATCTCAGCAAAATCTTTAACCAAAAACTTCACCAAGTTCTACATTTAGGTATAGGAGGATTTCATAAAGCCTATACCAATGTTTACAAAGAGTTCCAATTTTGAAAAAGAAAGAAGTTCACCCTCTCAATGGAACCTAGATGCTAAATAATCAGATTACTCAAGCAGCTTTAAGAAGTCAAATATCTGCACTTTCAATTTTTGTTAATGTTAGGGAGGGTCAAGAGTTTCGATAGATAAAACCTATTTCCAAACAAGACTTCTCACTCCATATGCACTGAATTTTCCACTTTCTCACCTTTAACTGAAAGCTCAGCTAAAAAGATCAGCCCAAAGGCTACCCTGCTGAGTCCACCATCCTGAGTTCTGCTGTGGGGTTACTGTGTGGTAAACAGTGAGTGAGCACATGCATGCACAGGCACATGTTCTTGCTCTCAAAAAAGTTGACTTTGTTTCTGCAAGTGGAAAAAGAAGCTTACTTATCCCAATAATTCGGTCTGTCTAAAATAGTGAAGACAGGGGAGCCTGGGTGGCTCAGTCGTTAAGCGTCTGCCTTCGGCTCAGGTCATGATCCCAGGATCCTGGGATCGAGCCCCACATCGGGCTCCCTGCTCTGCAAGGAGCCTGCTTCTCCCTCTCCCTTTGCCTGCTGCTCTGCCTCCTTGTGCTCTCTCTCTGTCAAATAAATAAATAAAAATCTTAAAAAAAAAAATAAAATAGTGAAGATATATCCTGAAGACCCAATGTTAAAGCGTGTGGTATAAGGAAAATTTTCAGTTCCACTTATATATGGTCTATTTGTCTCAAATTTATCAAGTACACTAATTGAAGATTTGTCCTTAATAACAGAAAATTTTACTTCTTATCACTTCCTAGTTTGAAAGAGCCTAATTTTTACATCCATTTCACAGGATCTTTACGAAGCCCATGCACTACATTTTTCCATGAGTATTTTGGGAAGTTTCTTTCCACAAACTATGATTCTTGTGATCAGGTATGAGTAAGTAATATTAAAGCCTTCTCTATGAATAATTTGCATCACCTAGCAGATATCTTTCATATTCTTTCAAGATGAAAAATCATTCAGTGGATGTTAACAAAACACAGACAAAATGAACAAAAAACTGGAAAATGCTAAGCATAAGGAACCCTGTTTTAGCCATTTTCAAGCTCCCAAATTCTAACATTAGTACCATCTAGTAGAGATACTATGCCTTCCAAAAAAACACTACTCTTCTACCAATGTTCATTTGACTTACACTAGTGGCAAATTTTTTCTTCACATTACCACTTAGGATCATGGACTCTTAAAGGTGAAAGATGTCATCTAAAGTGACCTGACCACTGTCACATACCTGGTCACAAGGCCAAACTAGAACCCAGGTCTCCTAACTACGAGGCCACTCTCTTGCCACAGACCACAATGTCACAATTCACTGATAAGAGAAAATTTTAAAAAGTGTGCCCTAGGGCACCTGGGTGGCTCAGTTGGTTAAGCGACTGCCTTCGGCTCAGGTCATGATCCTGGAGTCCCGGGATCGAGTCCCGCATCGGGCTCCCTGCTCGGCAGGGAGTCTGCTTCTCCCTCTGACCTTCCTCCCTCTCATGCTCTCTGTCTCTCATTCTCTCTCTCTCAAATAAATAAATAAAATCTTTAAAAAAAAAAAAAAGTGTGCCCTATACTATTATATCAATGTTAAATTTTCTAATTTGGATAACTGTGCTCTGGTTATGTAAAAGAATGTCCCTGTGCTTAGGAAATCCATGTTGAAGTGTTTAGAGATAAGGGGCTTGATACCTCCAATTCATTCCCTAATGGTTCAGAGAAAAATGCGTACCTAAATACTTACATACAGAGTGATAAAGCAAAAGGAGTAAAATGTAACCGATTACTGGATGATATGGGATATATGAAATACTGTTGTAACTTTTCTGCAAGTTTGTAATTATGTAAAACTGCTACATGAGTGAATAAACTGCATTAGGTCATGAAATTAACATTTTACTTTTAACAAGACAGGACTTCCAAGTCATTGCTCCCAACAAGTAGAAATTATGCCACATTTGGAGACAAACTGCTAAGGAATGCTGTCACATGTCACAACCTTCATTTCCTTTGAATGAGAATATACATCTCTATCCTCAGGTTACAGGAAGAAGTTCTAATCTGTGCACAAGCACTAAACATTTGAAGACAGCCAGCTTCAAATTACTTCTAGCTCCAGGACCCAGCAACCCTGATGCCCACTCCAGCTCTATGTCACTTTCTCTTCCAATCTGATTCAAATGGCCAGACCTGGACAGAAATCCACCTACTAAATGAATAATGGTCCAGCTAACAATTCTCTCCTCACCCAGGACCACCATTATAGGCCTCTCTTCCGCATACTGCAGGCGGAATCAGAGCCAGTTACATAATATTTTTTCATAGCCCCCGTGGGAAAAAATTGGGGAGAAGATACAGCTTAGACCAAAACAGAATTACTTTAGATAACCAAATTCACAAATGAAGAGACAAGTTCCAAAAGAAAGTTTATAGAAGACATCAGTTTTAAAACAAAAGGCAAAAGGAACAGTTGGAGAAAATAGAGAAAACTCCGAGAATTCAAAAAATATTATCTGGAGCTAGGTAACAAAATGAAATCTGACAAAACCAGTAGCCACCGAATTAAACCAAACATCCGCAAGCCTACGTGGGGAAAGTGGCTGAGGAAAATCAAATCTAGCCTAAACCAGTTTCTCCCCCAAAGGAGCTCGCAATTTGGCAAGGAGAAAGCAAAGCAGGTCTACAAAGGGTGAGGTGAAGCTGACAAGGGCCCAAAGAAAAAGGCAAAATGTGCTTTTAAGACTTTACAGAATGAGATGAGATGCAGAGCAGTGGGTCTCCAGAGGACTTAGGGCAACAGAAATTTCAGGATCAGGCCCTGAATTCTGATAATTCCAAGTGGACCATGTAATAATAATAAAAAAAAGTATAAGAGGAAACACGAAATTGTTATAGGATGCCTTTTTGTTTTCATAGCAGGTTCCCATTCAGGTCAGGATGGGACAGCCAAGTTCGTTTTCTTCTGGCAAAAAGGAAAAGTTTCTGATGTTGTTCAAAAGTTAACTACAAATGCGGGCATCGGGTCTCAGGGAGTAGGGAGTAAGAGAATAATTTAGAACAGAAAGGAAAAGACAGGGGGCCCAAAGAGGCAAAACAAATAAATCCTGACAGCTAAGAACTGCAACCCACGCGGCCTTCCGGCAGAAGGCCGCGGGAAGCTGAGGGGCAGGGGATGGGCGGGGTGCCAGGGCTGAATCGAGGTCACCGAGGAGGGCACAGAGAGCGAGCTGTGACGCTGCTGACTGAGGTAGGAGAGCTGCCTTTGCGGTTCTGCGCGGGGGCTAGAGCTGACGGGCACCTCTGACAGAGTCGGAGGAGCGGAAAAGCTACCTGCTGGGGCTGAAGTGGGCGGACCGGGCGTTTAAAGGTCAAGGTCAAGGTGGGGTTTGGCAAGCAACGCAGAAGCGCTTTTCCAGGAGGCCGAAGGCATACAAAATAATAACGCTGTTATTATCACTCTCATTATTTTTAAAAAGAAAATTAAAGGTCTCCTGGGCGGCTTAGGAGTGGAAGCGGCCCTGGCAGCAGCGAATGCAAAACAGGCCGGGGGAGGACGGCGGGGGCGAGCGCTGGGCCACGGGAGGGAAGGAGGGTGGGACGGACCGACGACGGACTCGGGCCCGGGCCCAGGGCCACCGCCGCACTCACTTGCCCTCCTGGCAGTCATAGAGCACGATGGAGTCGTCGTCGCTGCTTGAGATGACCGTCTCGCCGTTGGGGCTGAAGTCGAAGCAGTTAATCTTGTCCGAGTTCTCGCGGAACACCTTGGCGACGCGGAAACTCCGCAGCACGCTGTCGGTCAGCTTC